TGAAATGTGTGAAATTTGAAAATTGTCTTGAAATCTGTGGTGAATTTTAGAGTCAGGAATAACAGAAGTATCACAGGTTTTGCACTGAGCTCCTTTCTCATTAATAGTATCAATCCTTCTCTCATACACAGTGCAAGCTGTAAACAAGCATTTTATGGTTGCTGCTAACTCGTAAATATTTCGTATTTTTAAAAAATGTCTAATGACCGGGAGCCTGTTTTATTTTGTATTTACTAGCCTTCAAGAAACATATGAGGCAAAAAGAAAAGAGTTCCTCTGTGAATTGCAGAGAAAAGAAGAAGAAATGAGGCAGATGTTTGTGAACAAGGTCAAGGAGACTGAGTCTGAACTGAAAGAAAAGGAAAGGGAAGTAAGTATGGCAGAGGATGAATCTGGGCTACAGAGTCATGTGTGCTGAGTGTAAAAATCCCTTTGATGGATGAGATTCACCAGTGAGTGAATTCCACCAGTAAGGAACTGCCTTTCTTGTTTGGTTAGACAAAAGTTCTGTCTTTTCTATGACAGCGGCCTGCCTCCAAGCAGGATGTGAGGGAAATGTTCTGCCCCTGCTTGTCCATAATGTCTCCCTACCCCCTTCTCTAGCAATCCTATCTGATCACAAAGCTTCCCTTTAGATATTATGATTAATAACTATTACTAGAAGAATCTCCAATAATTTGCCTAATCTGTTTTTTTTTTTTAAAGCTATCTAATATCATATTCAGTTTGCGGTAGTGGATTCTGTATACTCTCTGACGAAACTACCGCCAGCCAACTTCATTGAGTGATTCAGAACTGGAAGAGAGAGGGAAAAAAACCCTGTCATTTTCCACCTAAATGTAATTTTATAACATATCCAAAAATTGAAAGTTGTGTTCCTGTCTTTATAACATTGTTCCGCATAATTTTGTTCATATAAAACTCTTATTTGAAGCCAAACTGCAGTTCCCCAGTTCCAAATCTGTTGGTGATTAGTCAGAGAGAGAGAGAGAGCTGAAACATGGCAACTGTTAAAAACAAAAAACAAAAAATCAAATTTTGTTTTTGTTTTTTCGAAGTCTTAAAAATCCTACTTTTTTAGTCTAGAGTGAGATGGTTCTGCTGAGTTCTTCTGACAATGTATTAGCAATCTGGTGCATTGAAAATGATGACTAACCTTATGTAGGTGCCTAGCTTGGTGGCCTGTTCATGCTGATCTAAAACTCTTCAAAATTTGAGTGATCATCTTTGAATTCTTAAAACCTACTTAGCAGCATTTAGGGGGGAAAGTTCTTTTGGGCTCCAAAACCCAAGTGAAAGAAATACAGATCTGGATTTTGCCCAGACTGCCTTTTCCTCATGGGTCTGCTCTTAACCATAAGACTTTTCTCTGACATATAAAGCAGCACTCCAACCAATGTTGAAGTTGCATTGTCTTGCGCCATGGGGAAAAGTTTACTTACTCTACACTGGAATTAAGGGCCGGTTTAATTTTTCATTCTGACATGGAAGAACTGCTGCTTTCCCCGCAGCTGGATCCCTCTTCCTTCCGGTGATGACTGTAAAGAGGAGCCATATGAGCCAGGAAAATGTTGTGTCTCCTCCCTGTGCCTGGAAGGAAAAACACTGGTGTGCAGGAAAGAAGAAAAATCACACAAAGTGGCCCATCCCACATAGTTTCTCTTTACAGATGTTACCCATTTCCTCCAGAATGAATCTGCAACAGTGTTGCTCATTAACATTCGAATCAGCCCAGTTCCTACAGAACTTGGGGGTGGGCAAAGCACCCTGCAGTAGGTCAGGGCCACTCCTACTAGATGGAAATGGGAAAGCAGGGTTCACTGAATATGTTTTGATTTTCCTGCCAGCTGCATGAGAAGTTTGAACATCTAAAAAGGATACATCAGGAAGAAAAGAGGAAGGTGGAGGAGAAGAGAAGAGAGCTGGAGGAAGAGATGAATGCCTTCAACAGGAGAAAGGTAGCAGTCGAAACGCTGCAGTGTCAGTCTTTGCAGGCCACTTCACAGCAGCCGCTGAAGAAGGACAAAGACAAGAAAAAGTAAGCCGCTTGACACAAGCTTCTTTACCAGGCAGTGCATTCACACCTAGTTATTAGAACATACAAGAGGGACCCGCAATAGAATGTTGCATAATGTGTTGTGGCCCTACGACAGTCTTCGTTGCCAGCAATCCCCGCAAGGAACTTGTGGGGAGGGGGCATTCCCCCACCTTTGTTTCCCTTTCCCACCTTGGTTGTCAAAGTTCCCTTCTCTGTTTTTCTACAGGCACCACTTATCTACCAATCTCCCCTCACCTCCCCTTCTCCTCTCACCCGTTCTGTGTCAGCTTTCCTCCCTACCCCCTTCTCTAACAATCCTTTCTTATCCCCTTTCTCCTCTCACCCCTTGTATGTGTCACCTCCTTTTACCCCTGCCCTTCTCAGACACTGTCCTCTTTCCCCCACCCCCTCTTTCCCCCCCCCCCTCTCAGACGGCCCCTCTCTTTCTCTCTGGTATTTCTCCCCCCCACCCATCTCCCCCTCCCTCAGACAAGCCTCAGACAATCTCCTGTTCATTTTCTTTCTCCCCCCCCCAACAGGCAATCCCCTATTCTTTCTCTGTCTCTCTCTCTCCCTTCTCAGAGAACCCCACTTCTTTCTGTTTCTGGCGAGGGAGGGGGCCCGACGCAGTCTTCACCTCCTTGGGCTTCAGTTGACCGGTGGCAGGGCCAGCTTGGGCAGCAGCAGCAGAAGGTGGGCTGGCTCCCAGAGAGGTGCTGCTGCCCCTTTGGCTCCCTTAGCTGCTCCACCACCTTCCCTACCCGGGAGTGCCCAAACCTGGTGGCTGAAGCCCTACTCTTTGTTGCCAGCAGTCCTGGCAATGACTGGGACATGTCTGGCGGTGGGGTGCATGATTATTGGTGTGGCAGTGCTCCAGTGTCTTTCCCCAGTGGTCCCAGTGGCGGTGTGGACGGTTCTTGTTGCTACAGTCCTAGCAGCGGCAGGACGGTTATTGCCATGGTGACTTCCCTTGCGACTCCAGCGGCTTTTCCTGCGCCTCCTGTAAGTCCATTCTCTGCGCATGTGCAGAGCAAGGAGTTTTACTTTTGGGGGCATTTAAGTATCCCCGGTATACTTTTTAAAAAACATTTTAGATTTTTCTGCAAATCTGGGGAGTGCCCCAAGTTTGCTGAAAGATCTGTTTTCCCTCCATGTGCCCCAGATCGTGGGAAATAAGTATCCACGTGCACAGGGGACCCTTGGCTATTAGTATATAGATTGCATTAGCTTGACTACTCTAAAAAGCCTTGTTGAAACAAATTAGGTAAGTGCCTGAGTTATTAAAAAAAGCCACCCAGATTCCATTCAGAGCACCTTTGAAATTAGTAGAATACTTCAAAGATATGATAAACATTTTAGCAAGGCTTAATCACTGTTCCAAATATTAGAGAGGTAGAAAATAAGAATCTGCCCTTTTCAAATTATGCTTGTAATGATGCTTAGGTAGTGACATCTTCTCAGTACAGCCATGCCAATTGTCCCTGGCCTCTTTGGTTTCAAAGGAGTGCAATGCCTGCAGCTTCCCAGGGAATGAAGACATGTCCATTAGCTTCTGGGTTTTGGCATCTAGTTGGTTAATGTTAATATTTTTGTACCAAACATACAGAAAGGGCTTTAAAAGTAGTAAAGACCAGAACACAGTAAACTGGGAGTATATTCAGCATAGTTTCTTGGTTTTTCTGTTGTTATTCTATGTTGTTCCATGTAGATGTATTTTACTTAGAAGTTGTTACATTTCGAATGAATATTATGTCCCACTATTATATGGAAGTGTCTTATGGTGACTCAGACTGGCAGTGACTGTCAAGGGATCTCCAATGGAGGTCTTCCCCAGCTCTGAGCCACCAGTAAACTGGAGATCTACTGGAGATGGTGGAGATTTAACCATAGACCTTCTGTCCTTTTTTTCTTTTTCCTTTTTTTTCTTTTCTACAAATTAAGGGAACAAGGACATGGGTACCTACTAAAACTACACAGCTAACAAGACCATATACAATGTTGTAATTCATTACCAAGTCCCCCCCCCCAACTTTAAACATAATGCTGAAGATTAAGCTTCAATTTCATATAAAGATCAAAACAGTACAAACATTATAAAACAATAATCAGATAAAGTGGATTATCAACTTTTAAAATAAATAATAAGCTTTCAGTGTCCACGTCTATTTCTTCTCCTTTTCCCCTCTAGGCTTTAGAGCTTTGGGGGCGGCTGCTCCCAACTCAGAATCTGAACCTTCTTCAGAAGAAGTGTTCGATGAATTTAAAGTAGTTCCCAAGCCACCTTCGCTGTCATCTTCTTCCAGTTTGTCGTCCTCTGCTTTCTTTTCCATTGCATATTTTTTTTGATGTTTCTCCAAAAAAGCATTGGCTTTCGCAACAGAGTCTATCTTTTGCTTAGAATCCTTGAAATTGAAAATAAGTCCTTCTGGTATAATCCATCTGTAGACAGTGGCATTCTTCTGTAAAAACATTGTCAATTTTTTATACTGCTGTCTCTTCTTTCTTATTTAAAATTGAATGTCTTTCAAGATTTTTATATCTTACCCTTTGATTTTCATGGTAATCCCATTAGTCACTTTAAGTATTGCCTTCCGAGTTGTTCTTTTAGAGAATCTCACAAATATTTCGCCAGGCAGATTATTTTTCTTGATGTATTCAGAATACGTCCAATACACCACATCCATCTCACTTTGTAGAAAGTCTGCTTTATAATCCACCAACGGTGCCAATGCTCCACTTAAAATTTCCTTGAGATTTTCTCCTTTCTGTTCCGGGGCACCCTGGAATCTCAGGCTATATAATGATTTTTTCCATTGGCAGTAATGATATCTGTTTTTTCTCAGAATCTTTTGCTTTTTCGACTGTCTCCAGTCTCTGAGATAAGTGTTTGGCCTTATCTTCCACTTTTTCCAGCGTTTTTGTTGCTTTTTCAACTTTCTTATTAGTTTCTTGTTGCCGTTTCCGGAGAGACTCAAAATCTCTATTAAGTTGAGTCATCTGCTCCAGCAGAGGGCGCAATGCAGCATTTAACATATTTGGAAAATCTACACTGGCTTCCTGTTTAGAGGATGCTCCGGCTGAGCTGGCACTTCCTGAAGAAGGTCTTATCTTCGGTGCCATTTTCAGCTCACCAAAGTTTTGTTTACACTAGTGAAAGTTTCGATTAAGTCTTGAAAAGTTTACTTGCTTATAGTCTCTGGCTGATTTTCACTTTGAGTTGTGAGATGCTTTTTAATTGGCTTCCCCTCTTTCTAACTCTGGATTTAAGTTCCGCTTTGGGGTGAGACCAGCTCCACCCCCTCCTCTAGTAGATTATGGATTTCCAGAGGGGATCGCCCGCTTAGCTGTTTGACTGCAAAATCGTCAGGACTCATTCTTAATCTTCTTTGTTGAAGGTAGGGAGACTTTCAATCATTGCTGGATCGTTGCTTGCTCTACCGGTATGTGCCGCTCACCTCCAGAATGGAGCTGCCGTGGCAGGGAGCTTTAGGAGCATCGGAGAGCCTCTGTCCCTCAGCCACAGCTTTGGGAGAGGCACTCCTTGCACTCCAGGCTGGGGTCTCCAGTGGAGGTCTTCCCCAGCTGTGAGCCACCAGTAAACTGGAGATCTACTGGAGATGGTGGAGATTTAACCATAGACCTTCTGAATGCAAACCATGTCCTCTACCACTGAGTTGTGGCTCCTTCCTTTCAAGTTAACCACACCATACTAGAATGAGAACTTTCTTTTGGATTGCACCAAAGATCTACCTAGACAAATACTGGCTCAGATTTCCCTGAAAAGCTTCCAAAGAAGTACAGAGGTCGCTTTCTGATGTCTACTTTTGTATCTTTAATTAGAGAAACTGCCTCTGAAAATGAAGATTCTGTGTCCATTCTTACAGCCTAATAGTCATTTATCTCCTTGAATGTGTCTGATCCCCTTTTAAAAACCATCTTAAACCAGTGGCCATCACCAAAGCATGGGTCAGAGAACTCCTCAGATTTATTTTGATTATGCAGAATTAATTTCAGAGAGGAAACATTTCTCCAATGTGCCTTGCCTTTAGCTGAGAACCAATATCTCTGGTCATGTCAAGCCTAATATGTTAAGCAGCAGAAGTGATTTCAAAATCAGATTATTTTTTTGCTACATTTAATATTTTCTATTTCTCGAATAAGTGCATGAATGCTGAAAAAGCTCCAGACCTTATTGATAATGGCCATCAAGAATAAGGCCAAGGGTTAGCAGTTATATTTTAAGATGATACTGAAAAGGTACAGCTTCATGGTTTGCTGTTTAGTTCTGAAACGTTATGGCCTGGTTCTGATACAGAGGCCAATCCCTGGTTCTGTTGTTGGGCCTGAGCTTGTATGATCCCTTCTCCCCTCATGTATTCTGATTTGCTTCCTAGTTGGGGCAAACCATCGTTTCTCATTATGACTGAACTAGCAAAATTATCTTGTGCTTATCTCCAGACCAGAATTAGAAAACATAGTTTGAAATAGGTTTATAGGTTTCTGTTGCAGTATAGCAGGTAGTCCTGTGTGGTCCAGGCCAACGATATCACAGAAACATGAGTAAGCAGGAATTTAGGCTGGGCAGGGAATAGGCCTTTTTCCTCACACCACCTTGACAGGGTAAGTGGTGATTCCACCCTGAAATGGTAATGCATGGTGCAGCCTGTAAGGACTTCATGAAGCGAGGTCTGCCTCGGAATTGATCAAGGCTGACTTGCAGATCTGTGTCCATCCCTATCCAGATGTCAGTCATGGAGGGTGGGCATTGGGGAGAAATACCCTGTTCTAGGCTGTGTGGCCTAAGTGGATAGATGTCTGTGCAGCTACAGCAAGAGAATTGCTTTAACAATATAGAACTAGCATTAACCTTTAAATAATTCCTGACAGAGCTTAGCATCATATCAAATTGGAAGAGGCAAAGTTGCTACAGGGCAGAATTAAAAACAGAACAAAACATTGAGGGGTGATGTGAGCTTCCACAGTAAATGCTTAGATAGTAG